TTTGTGTCTCATTAAAAATTCTTATTGAAGTTGTATTTGCCCTCAACGATGTTGATTTTCTTTTGATGACTTTTTTCCCTCCGCTCTAGCATTTGAATATCTTGGACACATTAAAGGCCATGTCCTGGGTTTATTAAGGAGCCCAAATGAGTTGAATGGATATACTCGGGCTTGGACTGAGCTCTCGCTTCGCTGTGTCTTCTGTTAAGTACTGAGAAGTACTCAAAATGTGTAGCAGTCTACCATTGGCAGCTGCTTGAATAATAATAATAATCTTCTAAAATAACTCTAGGTCTGGGTTAAAGTAACTGTTGAGGAGGGCACAATTCTGTATTAAAATAATATTTTAATTATATTTATATTGAGAGTACAGTGTATAGTAGCAAGTTTGAGTAACTCTGAAATAAAACATTGTACCCTTTGAGTTTCTTCATTTCACCAGGCACTTAAATGAAAAGGCATCTTAAAAGCTTTACTTGATGTATATCCTAAAGATATTAAACATTTGTATGGCAGTAGAATAGGGTTATTTTTCAGAATTGCCTACTTATTTGATGTAGTAATCGCCAATGTTTTTATATGACAACAATCCATTTTGCTACTCAAGTAAGTGCCAGTTGATGAAATGTAATGCTCATTTATAAATGCTTTTAAACATGTTTTTTCCTATTTAGAGCCATTCTGAGAAAATCCTCTGGCTACAAGCATTGATGTAGTTTACACAATAGCGATGGCTATTTATCAGCAATTTTTTTTTAAAAGAGATCATTTTAACTTTTCCTGTTTACACAGGTACTCAAAAGACAGATAGAAAAGCAAATAGGCCAAGATTTCTTCCATGTGGCATCCACCAGAGTGAACAGAGTGACAGCCACACTTACAAATGGCTGCTGTTAGATTATAATAAATGTTGATGGATGTCAGTTGCAATCTTACTCTTGAGTGTGCATGGCGGTTGTGATGGCATGACAATGCACCAAAGACATTGCAATTTATAAAATGATCACCCATCATTAGGCCTTTTATTATTATTATTATGAAAATGATTAATTGTCAAACCTGAGTGATTGCAGGGAATTCTCTCCATATTGTATCTAGGTGTGTGTGTGTGTGTGTGAGAGAGAGACAGAGAGAGAGACAGAGAGAGAGACAGAGAGAGAGGAGACAGAGAGAGAGAGACAGAGAAGAACATTAGAGACAGAGAGAGAGAGAATGCTTTGTGGCTTGAACTGAATAAGACTTCCTTTTAGCCCGCTGCCCAAGCTGGTCACAGTTTATCACAAATTATGAGGTTGTTTATTCTGGCGACGTCTTTGATGCTGTTGCTGTGGTGTTGCACAGCACTTCCAAAAGACTTGGTAACAGTGGTTTTAAAAAAATTTATTCACCTTTTTTAAAAGTCTGATGAATATACTATAAATATTTATAATAATAAAAGACAGATTTATACAAAACATTTATATATAAATGATAATTCAAAATAAACAGACCCGGTGATTAAAAACCGGTAAAAACACTGAATAAAGCAGTTTCACCTTTAAAAATCAGTGTTTCTCTGATGCTGTTCGACTGACAATCAACATCCCGGAGGGCCTGCCGGAATGTCGATGATGTCCGATAACCAAAATCCTTCTTCTAATTAAAATATATACGTTTTACTGGCATTTGGTTTTCAGTAAATTTGTAAGGATGCCATGTACGAAATTAAATTACTTTGTATTTTTATACTTAATATAGGTGACAAATTTAAATAATAACCTGGATAAGTGACTGGAGAAACTGAATAGTTTGACTATGTAAATGATATCAATCATATGCTATGGCTTTCAGCATCTTTGTTAGTGGTTACAAAGGTAGCCAATAACCTGAGTCCACCATTCTTGACAGAAGATCACACCGAAACGGGATTTAGTTTAACCCTTCAATTGAAGTAAATGGAAGACAGACACAAGTATAATGTGAAAAGACTTGAATTATCTATGTCTGGACCAACCCCTTACCCTTTATGTTGGTTTTTGCTTTAAAATGGCCCCCATTTGTGCATAATTATATGAAAGACACTGTAGACTGTGATTCTACCAGACATTTATGATTCTGTTGATGTTTCAGTGGATTACAAGTTGCAGTGTTGAAGCTATCTGTCACAGCTCCATTTTGTTTTCACCCACTGTGTCTGGTTTTTGGTTTTCAACCTCTGACACACACACCACATAGAACATCTCTTTTGCAACTGCAAAATGTTGTGTACTGCTGTGAGGAATAAATCAAAAGAAAGAAAAAAGAAGTGGGTTTTAAACTGGGGGGAAAAAAATCTTTTTTACAGTAAACACGTTCCAGGTTTATTTCATTTCAAGTGTTGGCCACTCGGTCTGTGACAACGTAGTCCTTCACATTTCTCTGACTTTTGATTGTCTACATTTTCTTTTGGAAGAAGTTTGAGTTTCTGTTTGTAGTTCCCATCCCTTTTTTGTTCAGCTATGGTGGCTGCCATTGTTTTTTTCACCTTACTCCCCTTTCTTTATCTTTAACACCCTCCACACACACACGCTTTCTCTGTGTAACATACAGTGAGTGATATTATGACAACCAAGAGTATCTGTTTGAGATCTTAAATTCACTAAAACAACAATACTAATAATCTGTATCTTAATACACCACTATGGCATCTTAAAATAGTTTTGTCATTCAATAGTTGGTTAATAAAAAGCAATAGCAGGAATGTAACTCAATATACAATACAATACGACACACATAACTCCTAATTTTCTGCAAGAAAAAACATATTGATACACTGATGATCCCATCTTGAAAAGGAAGGTTACATGCCAGTAGTTCATGTCAGCCATCCTCTCAATGTTAAATCTGACAGTCCATGAATGAAATAATTTTCAATTGATAATCCAGAGAGGGAATTCAATCTCTTTCGCCCATTGCTTTGGTGAAAGCACCATGGGAACTCCTAAAACACAATCCTATTTCTTTTCTCTGGCTTTAAAATGATTTGCCAGGGTTCAGTGGTAGATATCACGCTCACTGAGGTGGAATAGTGAGGCCTACATCTTTGAGTTAACTGATTATTTTCTCACCAGTAGTAGCTGCAATAAGTGGCTGAGCAAGCAGAGGGCACACTGTCGATACTGGTTATCTGACAGCTCCAGTTCCTTCTTGCATTTTCCACCAACATAAAGCTCTCACAGATCAGACACAAAGTATGGAAATACACATGTAGCTCGATTTCCACTGTAAGTAATAGTCCAGTTGAGCTGATCACATTGTGTTTTTTATGTTGATAATATGTTGAGTCATGATAAGGAAACACGGGTTGTATCACTTCCCGAGCACAACAGAAGTTTTTTGAGACAAACGTACTCACGTCACAATTCCAAACTTTAAATTCTGAGAAAGTGGCCAAAGAGGAAGAATCTACTAGACCAGTAGTTCTCAACCTTTTTGGTCTTAGGACCCCCAGATTAATACACATCAGGCTGCGGACCCGTATTTTATGTAGATGATGAAGTGTCAGGGATCCTTGTCTGATAAGATTCAGTTATTCCGTACAGTAGATTAATAGTGAAGAATGTGTGTGAAAACTATGAACAGAATAATCATTCTTATACTTTCTTTCATTGGGGAAACTTTACTCAATGAAATGAAAAATATTCTCTCCAATTTTCTCTTTGAAGCCCCTGAAGGACCCCTGGGCCCCCCCAGACCCCAGACTGACAACCACTGTACTAGACAGTGCAGTAAGTGACAACAAATGCTAATCCTTCATAAGTGTTATGTCAATTTAAATCAGTATTTGTATTTGTCAGTGATAGAGGACAGAAAAAAACAGTAATTAAAGTAATTGAAAGTGCATATTGATTGTTAAACACTTGTACGGTGTCAACTATTTCAAGTGATATAAATTTTTAATGTGGTACTACACTGTAAGAAATGATTCTGTGGTCATGTAGATTTGAATAATGTATTAGGTAAAATATATTCAATATGATTGTGTTTTTGATTTTGAGGCAATATTTAATTAAATTTCAAATAAAAATGTTTGGAATAAAATCCACCATTGTAGTTAAATAAAACATAAGCATTATATGTATCTAATCCCAAATAGAGAGAATATTGAGTGAATTCAAATGAATGTAATCAGGCAAATTTGAATTGAAAAGCACTTCCTGTCAAAGTGCGCCTTTTTTTAAATGCAGCAGGCTATCATCTAAGCCACAAAACATTTGAAGAGAGTACAGACAGTGAATGTTTGTCTTCTTCCACATTGCTCCATCTTGCAAAATTTAACTGGTTGACTAAGGTAAGAAAACTTCTTTTGTTCATCACTGGGCTAGTAAGAAGAACGCATGTAGTGGTATATTACAATATAAAATGAGCTATCACAGAAAAAGAGAGTCAGCAGCAACACAAAGTTGGCTTCTGTTGGCAAGGCTTTATATTAATGTAGTAGAGCTCGTCTTCCTGGGCAGGTAATGTAACCTTCTCTTGTTGTTTCGGGCTTGTTTGTTGCAAAACTTGCAAATGTGCAACGGCTAACTTCACCTACAACGCACACGTGGAAATCAGGCTCCCTGTAACCCAGTGTTTAGTGTTTAGAGGCTCGCAACTTGTATTTCCTATTTTCATGCACTAACACATTCTCATTTTGTTACGTGTGCGCTGAATGGCTCGTCCAC